CCAGCACCTCCTGAAGGCTGGCTGGTGTACCTAGTCTGGCCCAGCCAGCACCTCCTGAAGGCTGGCTGGTGTACCTAGTCTGGCCCAGCCAGCACTTATGAAGGCTGGACCTTGGACCTTTGGGCCCTTGGGCTCCAGCTAGTGCCTGGTGCAGCATTGTTGAGAAATTTCATCCTAGTTGACAGCTACGTTTCCATAAACTGCAAAGCATGGCATTTTTGTTCGACATTCTTCTAATTGCATCTAAATAACATGCATTTTTATTTGCTGCCATCCATCTTAAAAGTATGCAAACACGTTGTTGTGGAGTAGGAATTGTGTGTAATTGAACTCCACTGAGCCCACTGGATTTTACTATAACATGCTTGCTTATACTTGAAGATCATCATCTTTCATTGTAGGTATTGAGATTATTCTTTTAAAAACTGTTCATTTCCTTTGAGCATAGGACTGTTTTTAATCAAGCATCTGGGTTCAAGTATGGATGTAATTTATTACAATAGCTTGGAAATTCTGATGAAGCATTATGAAACACGAAGACAAAATTATTTTGCATCTCTGTGTAGATGTTGGGAACTTTGTCCTAATTAATTCATGTGTCTGTAGAAATGTGGGGCTTCTGCCAGAGAGATCCAGCCTCGGTGGCTGTTAAAGGCAGGAAAGACAGAAGGTGAGGCTGCTGGTTTGCACAGGCTTCTTACTAAAAAGTGGAGAAGCAGCCAATGTGGGAGCTCTTACTGGCATTTCTCAGCGTGGTTTGGGAAAACCTCAGATACCCAGGTTATAAAATAAGCAGCTGTCGAGTAAGCGGATGGACGAGTGGGCACGGAGCCATGCCGGGCGTCTCTGCTGCACGTGTGCCCTGCGTCCAGTGTGTCTCAGCCTGGCTCTCCGCCACCCCCGGGAATCGAGTTTACAGGAGCATTAATCAGGGTGGAAACAGTGTAACTATTGAAAAAGCTGCCATTCCTGATGCCAAGCCCCAGAATTCACAAATGGCTAAATGCCTTGTTCCTAATGCCAAGCTTTGGCATGCACCCTGTGTGCCATTAGTTCTAGACAGTGGGGATGAAAGGCAGTTGTGCGGTTGCCTCTCGATGGTGGGGGAGGAAGCTGTGTGCAGTTGGTTCTAGACAGTGGGGGAGGAAGCTGTATGTGGTTGGTTCTAGGTGGTGGGAGAAGATGCATGCAGTTGGTTTGAGACAGTGGGGGAGGAAGGCTTGCGTGCCATTGGTTCTAGATGATGGGGGAGGAAGGCCTATGTGCAATTGGTTCTAGATGGTGGAGGCTTGCGTGCAGTTTGTGGTGGATGGTGGGGGAGTAAGCTGTGTGCTGTTGGTTCTAGACAGTGGGAGAGGAAGCTACATTCAGTTGGCTACAGATGGTGGGGGAGGAAACTGTGCAGTTGGTTCTAGACAGAGAGGAAGGCCTGCCTGCATTTGGTTCTATCTGGTGGAGCAGGAAAGCCTTGTGTGATTGGTTCTAGGTGGTGGGAAGGAGGCTGAATGACATTGGTTCTAGACAATGAGAGAGGAAGGCCTGTGTGCAGTTGGTGGGGGGGAGGAAGGCTTGTATGCAGTTTGTTCTAGAGAGTGGGGGAGGAAGTTGTGTGCAGTTGGCTCTAGATGATGGCAGAAGCTGTGTGCAGTTGGTTCTAGATGACGGCGGAAGCTGTGTGTGGTTCTAGATGATGGGGGAAGCTTGTGCGGCTGGTTCTAGATGATGGGGAAAGCTGTGTGAGGTGGGTTCTAGATGACAGGGGAAGCTGTGTGTGGCTGGTTCTAGATGATGGCGGAAGCTGCATGCCATTGGTTGTAGATGGTGGAAGCTGCGTGTGGTTGGTTCTAGATGGTGGTGGAAGCTGTGTGCGGTTGGTTCTAGATGATGGGGGAGGCTGTGTGCTGCTGGTTCTAGATGACGGCAGAAGCTGTGTGCTGTGCGGCTGGTTCTAGATGGTGGCGGAAACTGTATGCGGTTGGTTCTAGATGATGGGAGAAGCTGTGCGCAGTTGGTTCTAGGTGACGGGGAAGCTGTTTGTGGTTGGTTCTAGATGACAGGGGAGGAAGCTGTGTGTGGTTCTAGATGACAGGGGAAGCTGTGTGTGGTTGGTTCTAGATGGGGGAGGAAGCTGTGTGTGGTTGGTTCTGGGTGATGGAAGCTGTGTGTGGTTGGTTCTGGATGATGGGGAGGAAGCTGTGTGTGGTTGGTTCTGGATAACAGGGAGGAAGCTGTGTGTGGTTGGTACTGGATAACAGGGAGGAAGCTGTGTGTGGTTGGTTCTAGATGATGGAGAAGCTGTGTGTGGTTGGTTTTGGATGATGGAAGCTCTGTGTGGTTGGTTCTAGATGGTGGGGGAAGCTGTGCGGTTGGTTCTAGGTGACGGGGAGGAAACTGTGTGGTTGGTTCTAGATGACAGGGGAAGCTGTGTGGTTGGTTCTAGATGGTGGCAGAAGCTGTGTGCAGTTGGTTCTAGATGACGGGGAAGCTGTGTGTGGTTGGTTCTGTATGACGGGGAGGAAGCTGTGTGTGGTTGGTTCTGGATGATGGGGAGGAAGCTGTGTGTGGTTGGTTCTAGATGACGGGGGAAGCTGTGTGTGGTTGGTTCTGGATGACGGGGAGGAAGCTGTGTGTGGTTGGTTCTGGATAATGGGGGAAGCTGTGTGTGGTTGGTTCTAGATGACAGGGGAAGCTGTGTGAGGTTGGTTCTGGATGACGGGGAGGATGCTGTGTGTGGTTGGTTTTGGATGATGGAAGCTGTGTGTGGTTGGTTCTAGATGACGGGGAAGCTGTGTGTGGTTGGTTCTGGATGACGGGGAGGAAGCTGTGTGTGGTTGGTTCTGGATAATGGGGAAGCTGTGTGTGGTTGGTTCTGGATGACGGGGAAGCTGTGTGCGGTTGGTTCTAGATGACGGGGAGGAAGCTGTGTGCGGTTGGTTCTGGATGACGGGGAAGCTGTGTGTGGTTGGTTCTGGATGACGGGGAGGAAGCTGTGTGGGTTTGGTTCTGGATGATGGGGGAAGCTGTGTGTGGTTCTGGATGATGGAAGCTGTGTGTGGTTCTGGATGATGGAAGCTGTGTGTGGTTGGTTCTGGATGACGGGGAAGCTGTGTGGGTTTGGTTCTGGATGATGGGGGAAGCTGTGTGCGGTTGGTTCTGGATGATGGGGGAAACTGTGTGGTTGGTTCTGGATTGATGGAAGCTGTGTGTGGTTGGTTCTGGATGACGGGGGAAGCTGTGTGGGGTTGGTTCTGGATGATGGGGGAAGCTGTGTGGGGTTGGTTCTGGATGACGGGGAGGAATCTGTGTGGGTTTGGTTCTGGATGATGGGGGAAGCTGTGTGCGGTTGGTTCTGGATGATGGGGGAAGCTGTGTGCAGTTGGTTCTGGATGATGGGGGAAACTGTGTGGTTGGTTCTGGATTGATGGAAGCTGTGTGGGCTTGGTTCTGGATGACGGGGGAAGCTTATGTGCGGTTGGTTCTGGATGATGGGGGAAACTGTGTGGTTGGTTCTGGATTGATGGAAGCTGTGTGTGGTTGGTTCTGGATGATGGGGGAAGATGTGTGGGGTTGGTTCTGGATGACAGGGGAAGCTGTGTGCAGTTGCTGGATGACGGGGAGGAAGCTGTGTGGGTTTGGTTCTGGATGACCGGGAGGAAGCTGCGTGCAGATGTCCCGGCTGCAGGGCAGTTTGAGCGGGACAGTTGTGGAAGCGCAGTCGTTTGGAGACTGGCCCTGGGTGCGTCCGTCGGAAGACCCTGCCCCATCCCCATGTCCTCTGCCGCCCGCTCCCTGAGCCCGCACCAGTGCCTCGCTCCGGCAGGCCACGGGTAGAAAGCGGGACAGGAAGACACGTCTGGACGTAGACACGCGGTGTCTCATTACCTCGGCAGGCACTCCACATAACCAGAACCACAACGCCTTCTGCTGCCATGAAGCTCATTTCTCCCAGGGACTTTGTGGATGTGGTGTTAGTCAAGAAGTACGAGGATGGGACCATCGGCACCAATGGTGAGTGCCAGTGGCCCCGTGTTTGGAGCGCACCCCTCGGTTCCTGTGGAGACTCCCCTCTTGTGCTGTGCTGGGCCCTGTCCCGACTCCTGTCCTGGGGGTGGCAGTGTTCCCCCTCCTGCCCAGTGCCACCGCACAGCCCTGCCGTTCCTGAGCGAGGAGTTGGGAGGCCGAGTGTGCACACGGCCGCTGTGAGCTGAGGACCCTCCCTCCTGCCTCCAAACGCCCTGCCTTCCGTTTTGTTACGGTCCTTGCTCATAGTCCTGGGGGACTGGAGAGCTGTGCCCCTGCGGGTGGGTCTGAGGATGTGGGACACACCCGTGTGTATGTGTGAGCGTGTGCTCGAGTGTCAGGCCTTGACAGCACCCCGGGGGCCTGGTCCGCGGGTGCCAGGCTCCGGGGAGGCGCTGGCCTGCTGCCGGGCACTGGCGCCCTGACCATGAACTGTCTTCCAGCCACGCACATCGAGCACCCGCTGTGCCCCCCAAAGCCGGGCTTTGTGAGAGGATTTAACCATCCCTGCGGCTGCTTTATCGAGCCTGTGCCAGGGTAAGGACTGTGGCCGCTCGGCCAGACCCTAGAGTGGACGGGAGGCCGGCTGAAGACTCCGGTGTGCCAGACAAACCTGCCGCCAGCGGTGGGCTCACTGCTGCAGACCTCTGTCCCCCTCCCCCTCCATGTCTGTCTGTCTGTCTGCCTGCCTCTCTCTCTCTCTGTCTCACAAACACACACATGTGCTTGTGCCCAGCCCCTCTACTGGGTTCACGCAGTGCTGCTCTCTCCCCCTCCCTGTCTGTCTTTCCTCTCTGTCTCTCTGTCACACACACACACACACACACGTGTGCTTGTGCCCAGCCCCTCTGCTGGGGACACGCAGTGCTGCTCTCTCCCCCTCCCTCCCTCCCTTCGTCCCTCCCTCCCTCCCTGTCTGTCTGTCCTCTCTCTCTGTCTCTCTGTCACACACACACACACACACACACACACACACACACACGTGTTCTTGTGCCCAGCCCCTCTGCTGGGGACACGTCTCACCGCTGCTCTCTCCCCCTCCCTGTCTGTCTGTCTGTCTCACACACACACACACACACACGTGTGCGTGTGCCCAGCCCCTCTGCTGGGAACACGTCTCACCGCTGCTCTGTCTCACGCCTTGCCGTTGCTTTCCCAGGGAGCCCGACAAGACCAACCTGGTCTCCTTCTTCCAGTCCGACCTAAGCGGCTTCCTCCCACAGAGCGTGGTGGATGCCTTCTTCCCACGGAGCATGGCCGAGTTTTACCCCAACCTTCAGAAAGCGGTGAAGAAATTCTGTAGCTGACCCTCTGCTGCTGGTCGGGAGCGCCCGGAGCTGCCCGGCCCTCCTCAGCACAGCCGGCCACCGCCACGCCACTCAGGGCTGGCCTGGCAATGGGGACAGGCAGCCAGGTGGACCAGGCTCCAGCCATCCCAGACTGACGGCGTGTGGGCGCAGTGGGAGACGCTGTCCCCACGGCCATGCCCCCTGTTCTCATCACCTGGAGCACTGCACACCTGCTCCCCACGCCCCATCCATGGCTTCTATACTGCCTAAGACTCGGGCCCACAGTTTGGAGAAATGAGAGTTTAAACCATCAGATAAGAACAAGAAAAAGCCAGGCCAGGCGCCAGTGGCTCACAGCTGTCATCCTAGCGACTCAGGAGGCTGAGATCTGAGGGTCACAGTCCAAAGCCAGCCTGGGCAGGAAAGTCTATGAGACTATTATCTCCAATAAACCACTCAGAAAACCAGGAGTGGCGCTGTGGCTCAAGTGGTAGAGCACTAGCCTTGAGCTGAAGAGCTGAGGGACAGCGCCCAGGCCCAGAGTTCAGGCCCCACGACTGACCAAAAACAAATAAACATGAAATGATGTCTTGTTGGAGTCCACACTGTGGTCTGTGATCTTGCATGTTCTTCCCTGCTGTGGGTGACCTTCTTGGTCCCTGGAAGTCGGGGATTTGATCTGCACCGTGGGGTGAATGCTATTTGGGGGCGATGCTAAGCCGAGCACGCTGGTCCCCTTTGTCCCTGGGGAGAAGCGTTGTGTCTGCTTCCCTTGGTCCTTCACCACAAGGCGGGGAAAACCAGCACCCACTGGCCTGTGCCAGGGCGCGCGACCATATTGCCTGGAAGAGCTGGACAGGGAGTGGGCACAATGGCCTCTGCTTGTGTTGAGGGGATATAAACTATGCAACTGTCTCCTGTGCTCACACAGAGACTCCTCTACACACTGT